GGAATAGCTCATCGATGGAGAAGAAAGCGAGAGAATTCACCGATTCAGAAAAAAATATAGCTCCACAAGAGGGGGTAAAATAGAGGTTGGACGAGATTACCATGACGGAAATAACATGGCAGGGGTATTTGGACGAGATTTTAGATGTTACAATTGCGCAATGCACTGACTACATCAAGCCAGAACTTTACAGGACTGTCTTTCACGGCCGCTATGGGTCATGACAAGTTCCTTGAAATTCCTACATGGGTTGCCTTGTGATCGGTGCAGCCTCTACAATGCCGGTGAAACTCGTCCGAGGATTCACACTGGCCAATTTTGGCCTTTATAACTTCCTAACTAGGTCGTTTTCCAACTTAATAGTGCCAGATATGGTATGGGGTCTCGAATTCGTCCTGTGGGGAATCTCAGAAACCATTTTTATCGTGAACTGTGCACTTAATTCGCAGGCAACAGGTACTTGTTCGTTATGAGTCCTTCTAACCTGCCGACAAGCTCCTTGTGGTGCAGTTGGTTTAGTGTAAGCTGACCTCTTCGCAAGGTAGAACTAATCGAAGAGGCCTATTCCTTATCCATAATTTGAGGGCGATAATACCAATAAGTACCCATTGACCGATAGCTGATCAGCAACATGTTTCATCATTTTGGCTAAAAATAGCCGTAGTGAGAGCGGAAGTGCGGCCATCCGCTGTTCCCGACCGATCGAACTGGCAGTCTCACTGCACTCACATCCAACAGTGCTCCCTCCCACTCGTTGTTTGCAACCCAATAGCACCAACTGTTTTGTTTGTTTCATTGATTTTCCAGGTCTTGATGTTCAATGTTCCTGGAATAAATTTCTCACGTCAAGTGGGAATTCTGCTTTTCAAGGACGTGGCCTCGCTTAGGTGGTCATGCTGGCCACCTGGGCCAGGCATCCTTCCTAACTGCACCCTCGCCACTTTGCACTGTCTCATACAGGAGCTGGTTGCAGAAAAAAAGGATGACGAATTTTTCCATAGCACAGCGAGCGATGAAACAGCCTGGTTGTTGGGAAACACCTGCGCCATCGTTATGTTTGCTTCAACTGCAACTCGTCTCATCGACAACTTATCTTATTGATTTTCGCGAAATTCTCCTATCCGTACTTTTCGCCGCAACGTATCGATTTATTGACTATTCTGTGGGTTTGTATGTCCGCCCATATGGTTGTTTCGGAGAGTTGGAATGGTTAATTTGGGCATTGAAGGATGAATAGTCAAGTCTTTGGGTGTCACAGTCCCGTCCGAGGGATGCGCCCTCGCAATCGACTTCTATTTGGAATGGGCATCACCTGAATTAATCCAGCAAGACCAAAACTAAGTGTCGAAGTCGTAAACTGCCAAAATCCAATTCAAATGGGATTAAGATGTTAGCAGAGGCATGGTCATGAACTGATTGCCGGTAAGGGTAAAACCCATACTAACCACGACCTTGTCATATGAAGGGTACGTTCTAGGATTAGTCATTTGCTTCGATTTATACTGTCCAACCACTATACACTTCGGGTGGGCCGGGCCTACCGGCAAACCTTCCCGAAGCGTAGAGCAGCCGTTCTACGAATGATATTTCCTACGTTCGTAGCCATGGGAGTTTTCCATGTATGGGCCTCCATTAGTTATGAGTAGGAACTTCTTAGGATGACCGCACTTAAACGCATAATTCACGACAGAATGGGCTTGAAAGACATTCTTTAGAATGAATCCGTGGCATCAATGCCCACATGCCGCTGATAGATCGAAGAACGGCTCTTTTAAGGCGTTATAAGGGCTCAAGGGCTTGTAAGTCACATCCAATAGCGGACGAGTTTCAATAGTGGGGCCGCACCAATCAGAAGGGAAATCTATGTTGAAATTTTGAACAACTAGCCGTAACCCATAGAGACAGTAGAAGGCAATTCTGGGCTTTTTTGATTTAACGTGGCCAGCTCTTTACGCAGCTGTAACAAATCTCGTCCATATACCTCTTCCATTGCATTTCCGCCATGCCAATCTAGTACAACTGCTGCTTTAATTATTTTTAGAAGCCTTATATTTCACGAATTCCATTGATTTTTCGCTTTCTTCATCACAATGCAATATTCTCCAACAACACTTCTGGTTTCCACCTTGGCACCTCGAGATTATCGTGAGCTGTGCCTTTAAATTATACTTATGGTTAATAAATTTTTAAAAAACAGCAAGATATCGTTTGCATGCCCAAGGAACCCCAGTGAAAGCAGACTAATGTAAGCTAAGCCTATTTTTTTCGTGAGGCAGGTGTTACTGGTCGCTACTGCAGCACCAAACATCTAAGGTCGAAAGTTCAGCGGTGGGCTTTCTACACAGCAGCACAAACAAAAATAAGAAGGCAGAAACGTCCCTGTTCGCCTTCGCTCTAACGATATCAATGATTTTGTTGTGCTAACAATAAGTAATATTCAAGCGTTAAATATGCAATCTTGCCTCAATCTTTTGCCTATAATGAATTTTACATTACAGTTGCAGTTGTACGATGTAAGATAAGCTACCATTGAGTACACCTTTCGTAGAATTTTTTAATTTGATGTTAATCGTTGACGTTGACATCAATAATTTATAAATCTGTATTGAGTGGAGGTGGTGTAGCGGCAAGTGGCGCACCATCACACACACATGGCCACAGGTGCGAATCCCGGCTCGATATCCGCTCCGGCTGCATAACTTGCGATCTGCTTCTGGCTGCTTTCATACTTCGGCGAGCGCGCCGGCACGCCGTTGTAGACGCCCGTACATTTTGGAAGCGGCGTGCGAGCGACTATGCGACGGCGGCCCTATCCAAGCGTGTGATAGCAGCCATCCTCGATTTGCGGTAACAATCGGTACCCGCTGCTGTCACACGTTTGGATAGGGCCGCCGTCGCATAGTCGCTCGCACGCCGCTTCCAAAATGTTGGGGCGTCTCCAACGGCGTGCCGGCGCGCTCGTCGAAGTATGAAAGCAACCACTGAAATTGTACATGTCTTCATCCATGTGGAACTGTACATCACTGAAGCAACCGTCGTCTTCACTGGATTCAAAGGATGCTTCAGGCATCTCCAGGGACAGTGTAACAGTTGCAGAGATTAGAACAGATGCAAGAAATTGAGAGTCTTTGAGGGTATTCTTGAGTGGACCTATATCGCCTGCTGTCCTTTGATCATCAATTTCCACGACCGGGGCCAGTAACGTCCCCATTTGTCCCTATCGCGAACCACAGCGGTACAGTGTACCGTGCTCGCTCGAGGGACCCTAGACATAGGATTCCTTTGGTTCAGAGCTTCCGTTCAGAAGTCAGGCCATACCACCAACGGCCCGCCTGGCGTTCATTTGGCGTCCTGGGAGATTTAGTCGATCACCGCCTTGGTCCAACGATCATCAGGATATCCTATCCCTGTGGCGACTCTGAAAAATGAAACAGGTCACAATTCGTATGTGAAATAATGATTGAGTGAAGTAGGGCAGACGAAAAATAGTAATCGGCCACAGAAGGGCCGAATAGAAGTCGACTATCTAATAAACAACTGAAGAGTTTTAGCCTTATTACGGTAACCGCTCATGGTACGCAGTTACACGACATTTTCCTTTTGTTTTTACGACATGTTGGTTTTCCTAACTTCTCCATCGATCGGATGAATTTGATTATCAGATAAATATCTCTTGGGTCCTTGATGTGATTAACGGAAAATGATCCTCTGAACGGTTCGGTGTTCTAAGGCCATTCTTGCTGGCAGTGTCATTGTTTGAAAGGTAGGCACGGATGGACTTTGAAAGCATGCTCATCTTCTTGTTTAGTTTTGTTTTTGGTTCTAACAAATCACCATCAGGTGATCCTTGTAAGTCACTGGAAATCATTGTTCTTGTCATCAATAAATGTGACGTGAGAAAATGATTCGATCTATGGTTAATGAAGTCTGTTTACTACAGTGAAACTGATTATTGTGCAGCTAATCGTCAACAAGTTGACGTGATCAACTGCTTGGCCCACGTTTTCTCAAGAAGCCCCTCTATGAGATTCTTGTCCTTCTGCTCGCAACTGTTTAATAGTTGAAATTCCATGGACTTCTTTTATTGAACCTCCGTTTACAGGGCACCTTTCTGATTGCACGAAATGGGGGACGAGGGCACTTCGTTGGCCTTCGTAGAACGTTTCACGAACCGAGATCAACAAACTGCTCTTCGATTCGCATTCTTTAACGCACTTTTATTTGTACTGGTAAGCTCATTCATATGTTTATTGATAGTAGTTGATGGTAACAATATAAATGTGAGGTGAAATGTGGTTGAGGGGAGAGGGGGGGGGGGGGGGGGGGGGGGGGGGGGGC